CTGAATGTGTGTACTTGTATTCATGTTCTCCATTGATAAATACGCACGCGCAATTAACGCGGATACACCGGCATGAATTCGCAGGTACACCGTCGCTATATCCTTTTTTTTGTTTTCGACGTAAAAGAAATAAACAAAAATCCTCTTCTTCTTCTTTATTCTTTTCTATCTTTTTACTTTTTCTTCTTCTTTCAAAAATAAATTTTCGTGCATCGGTTATCTGTCATCAATAAAAAATATCTCGTGTGTGTCAAACATACACTGCATTTCAGTCTACTATTCTTTGACTGGTCATATACTGGAAACCGATTCAAAAGGATGCGGAGGCAAGACACAAATCCGAAAGAAAAGATGACACGATCACGTGCAAGGTCGACGTCAAGCTGGTAAATGAAGATAAGAGGCAACAAGCGAATAAAAGCGCTAGAATTAGAAATGATTAGGTGATCCTGACAATAGATACGATCAAGATCACGAATACTATGCACCAAGTTATCTAATTTCGCTGGAAATATTCGAAAACATAAATCGGAAACTTCTGATACGTCGATCGTGCATTCTTCGATATAATGGAGAAGTTGGACATCACGCTTCCCTTCTTTCTCTATCAAAAAATAGGATATAGTCTTGTACATAAGTATATATCAAACTATATCAAAATTTAATGTATTTTGTATTAATATAATATGTAATATAAAACAGTGAGATATCTAATAATCGTGAAAAGTTAAATATTAATTAATATTTTTTTGTAAAACGCATGTCAAAACCAGGCCAACATTTTTACACAAATATACAAACTAATCAAGAAAAAGTTTTATTTCATCACTCATTTATTACACTATTATTTTCCATTCAAACGTTTCGCGATTAGGCTCATTCGATGGACCCCCTTAAAAAATCCCACTATCGATATACCTGCGAATGCATCTGCCGTGTAATTTTTTTTATTCTCACATGCATTTGTAAATGAGGCAATATGTGTATATGTAATATGTGTATATGTTTATATATACGCTGATGTGGATGTGTTCTTTTTTGCGTATATCTCTCTCTCTCTCTCTCTCTCTCTCTCTCTTTCTCTCTCTCTCTCACACACCGTCTTGTCGATAAAAATCTCAGCAGTTTATGACACATCGTTCGCCATTTTGTTTTATTTTTCTTACACATAGCAATAATAAAGACAGTAAATAGCTAAAAGGACCGTATCGATTCTTGGGAAATGGGGGAGGCGGCCAGGATTGCGGCCAATCCATGCCGTATCACCCGCTGCCGCATACTCACATTGTCATCATTTTATCATTATCATTATCGCCGCCGCTATCGTTATCGCATCATCATATCTCCGTTCTTGCTACCTTGTCACATCTTCTCTCTCCCTCTCACATATTGTGCGCGCGCGAATACACACATTTCTATTTGCACCTTTTCCTCTTTTTCTCTACATTTTCTCGTTTACTTTTTCTTCTTCTCATTATCTCGCTGTTATTTTTAAAATTCGTGATCATTCTCTATTTTTCTCTCACTCTCAATCAATCACGACCCATACAATACAGAATTTCTAAAAACGTTCATAGAATGTTCTAAAAATGTACAAATATTCATAGAACGTTCATAGACGTTATGGATGTTGTTATACTATCTAAGGAGGTTTGTTCGCATCGCATGCTTCAACACGCTCCCTATCATAGCTTCTACTCACTCCAATGCATTTGTGGAGTAAGAGCTATGGTAGGAACAAACCTATGTACACACATACACACACACGCGCGCCCACGCGCTCTGCTTGCGCACGCGTGCTCCCTCTCTCTGCCTCGCGCACATGTTCATCCTATCGTGCTCTACAAAAAAGATAGTAAGCCTAAACAACAGTTTATTATTTATTATCATTATCTCTCTCTCTCTCTCTCTCTCTCTCTCTCTCTCTCTCTCTCACTCACTCACTCTCTCTCTTTTTCTGATATTTGTCGATCGATCATTGATGTGTATTTCTTCATACACGCGTAAATGCGTGAAACAAATAAGTATACAACTGTATACACTTTATGTATTAAATATATGATACAAGATAAAATAGATTGTTTCCGCGTACAACATATTATTTTTAAACAATATTTCATATATATATTCTTCACAAATAGGGACAAAATTATCTCCGATAAATTCAAATTTAATGATTCGATTTCTCACAGGAGATTTCTCACTGGTGACTCCTCCTTTTCCGAAAAAAAAAAAATCAAACGCATGTAACGAAAAAATGAAAGACGATGTGACGTCGCATTTAAAATTGTCATTCATCCCATAGCGAATCACCACCCACATTATGATCCATTGCGATTCGCGCCTTTTAGGCCCGATTACACCAATGTTACTTTGAGCGAAGATTAAAATTCTCTCTTTCTTTCTTTAAGACCAGATTGTAACGTTACTTCAACTTTAAGAGAAGCTTAAAATTCTCTCTCTCTCTCTCCTCCCCCCCCCCTCTCTCTCTCTCTCTCTCTCTCTCTCAAGCCGAGAGAGATACATAAAACGAGAATTTTAAGTCCCGTTTAAAGTTAAATGTTGGTGCAATCGAGTCTAACGCCGACAGAGAGGGAGAGATAGAAGTAGAGTTTCGAGCCTCGCTTAAAGTCAAAATAACGTTGGTCGGGTTTTAATTTTTTTATGACAAAGGCATGCCAGATTCCAAATCTAATTTCCCCATCTCACCGTTACTGGATCCATAATAGTGAGATCGTCACGCAAAAGATCATCGTTTTTTCAATCAAAAAACCATGCACTCGCATCGCTTACGAATGTCTATGATGTACTAAAATATAATACTGGAACGAGCGCGGCTCCTGCATTAATAGCACTTTCCCTTGACTGCACTATTGCCCACCAATGCACCACTCAGATAGTATAACGTGTTTCCATGACTGGTGATAGATAAACTCATTCGGTGTTAACGTGCTTCCGTGGCTACAATAGTGGTGCATGTTTTATGTACAAAATACGATTTTGCTACAACGTTCGAAGAAAAGTGTAGAGTGAGTAACATTTAAAATTTGAAAATAGAAATCAAACAAGAGCAGGATTTTAGTATCTAGTACTAATGAAGTAGTATACATCATGATGTACACTACTTCAATACAGTGCAGCGCTTACATACAATTGGTGCGATGCAAGGCTACATCCAGTACATCCCAAGAGAGAATATTTATAAGTCCAAGAGTATTCCAAGTGGTATCTTGATCTTTTTCCAACCTATACTGCGCAAGTGTAATAAATAATAGTAGAATACATTCTCGTAAAAAAAATTTAGTAGTATATTTCAAGTTTAGTAGTATAGGTTATACTACTATAGTTATAATATATATACGTTAAGTATATTTCATTAAAATATAGATTAGGTCCTTTAATTTAACCTAAACTTTTGTTTCAATTTGATACGATATACGTCTCTCACCAGAGACAATTTGGCGCCAATTTTTAGTATTTGAAACTTATAGCCAAAAGACAAAGACCACATAGAATCCTCTTCATCGATTCGTAAAATGATAACTGTTATACTGATTTTACAATGAGTCGGTAGTCCTAAGTCTTATTGGTGAAGTTGATCAATAGCCAACTTGTACGACTAATGCTGATTTGGCCAACTCCACCGATTAAGACTAAGACTTCAGACTACCAACTCAATGTAGAATCAGCATCAAGAATACCTCTGTCGTTTTAAATTGTAATAAAAATATACTTAATCGATGCGTTTTCCCGTAAAAATAAAAATTTGACAAGAAAAAAGCGTCGTTTTGTTCTACAAATTGAGATATTAATCGTTAAAGTTGATGACTGTTCAGGAAATCTGTTCAGAAATCTGTCAGCTACGAAATACTGCAATGCAAGCATGATTTTTATATCAAAATTTGAGGTGACTGGGATATTCTTAATATTTACCCGAGAAACCCTAGCGTCAGCGCTCGTTCCAGTATTATGGGCTGCGTTCAGCAGAGAAAATTAATCAGTTAACGCTTAATGATTCTTGAAATATGATTGATTCCTTCATTTAGATCCAGCGAAGACCTAAAGGCAAGAACCAATCATATCAAAGAATCAACTGATTTCTCTATTGAACGTAGCTATTACACTTCAATGCTATGATATCAATGACGTCTTGTAACGTGCGTCACCGTAACAGCTCTCGCACGGATAGCGGCGGTTCTCCCACCGATCGATCGTCAAAACCGCCATCGATCCTTGTCATCACTCCTCGCGACGCGTCGGCGTCTCAGATGTGATCTCGCATCTCTCTCGCGCGTCACAGCCGTCGAGACTCGCATTGCTGCGCGATTATTACAAGGGTTGGGAGCAGATAGAGAGCAGATGTGGCAAATAACATCGATATTAGTATCGATATCGATAAGACGCCGAAGTTTCCCCACAATCTCCGACGCTCATACGCGTCACATAGAACATAACACGAGATGACAGAACACGAGACACGCGTATACCTTCACACGTATCTACGATGCTTAAGTACGTATACGTGTATGACTGAGAAGATAAGAGAACGGAGAACGAAAGGAGAAGAGAGAAACAACACAGGTTTGTATGATAAAAAGTATGGGAAAAAGAGGAAGGAGAAGGGTGCGTCGTTGTTTACGTATGGTACGTGCGTTTACTCAGCAATATTCAGTATAAACTCGCGCGTGTCTTCCTTTCCGTTCTCTACGTCGTGTCAAAGAAACAAAAATTGAGAAAAGAATAATGACGGGAGCAATAATGGTAGATGCACTGTTCTCGGCTGTGTATTTGTTACTGCTGTTGCTGCTGTTGTCGCTGCATTTTCATCGTGAGTCGCGCGGCAGGGCGTGCGGCAATTCCGGGGCAACTCGTGCGGTATGGCGCATGTTCCATTCGCTGTTCATTAAAATAATCGATCGTATCGTTTATTATTAATATTAGATATTTATGTTGGGTCCCAGAGGTTACTGTAACAGAAAGCAAGATTAAGTTGCAGGTTAGTAGACTATAGGTAGACATCATTAAACTTACACTCGTTTCTGTACTCATTCTTGCTTGCGATAGTAAGATTATAATAATGAAAAAAAGCGATGAAAAAAAAAACTTTGCAAATTGAACATATTTTGTCTTGTAGAACCAATATTTTGTCATAAGACTTTTTTATTTATGTTTCCGTTATTTTAAATTTTTAAAGAAGTATGCAATATTGAGAATTAAAATTTTGGTCGCAAGTTGCGGGACACGCTATATAATATTTTTCGCAATAAGTTATAGGTTTTAAGAGATACTATTAGCATTATGATCAAAGTGCATGATACATCTATTATACATATATTATAGTCTTCTTTATTATGCGCAATTTGGAACACAACCCATGATTGCGTTGCATTTTCGACAGTAATTGGCGCGCAATAAAAAAAACTGAAAAGATGTATTTAAAATGTACATAGAAATATTACTAAAGTCCGGACGTTCGTACATGATCACAATGCGTGTGTGGAGGACCGCTTCGCGCTTCGTTTAGATGTATTGAGTAGACCGTGCGCCAGCCAAAATGTTGCTCTCTTGCTTTAGCAAGCTCCTGGTTCATTTGCACGTACAGCGGTTCTTTGCGCACGCTCCATAATTGTGCATGAATATATTAAGCATACATTTTTATGTTATTTTTACGTTGAGCATGACGATTTTTAATGTGCACTCATGCGTATTAAGTGCATTCAAATTCGCTGTTAATTTAAATGGTAGATTTTTCTAATACATTATACAGAATATCCGAAAAATGCTGAAATTTTAAGATTTTAAAATTAAGCACTTCCGAAAGAAATGTTCCATACTATATTTGTAGTTTGAAGTAATTAAACAAAGAAAATACCAGACCTTGGCTAATAATATTAAGGTTATGTAAAAATCACCTTCAACTTTTTAAATGGAAATCTTTACGTTGAAATTATCTTATCAACAAGTAGTCACGTGAATAAACTCGAGTGTTTGATTTTTAAAAATATAATATATTATAATATAATAAAAGAGTGTCATTCTATTTTCTTTCACTTCTTTAAGTAATAATTAGGAGCTATATCCGCAAAGAAAAAATTTTGCTGTTAGCAAACTGTAATTGTTACATGCTTGATGTAAAAATTTTATTATCAATTATTTGATATTACAACAAACAATTATACTGAAAAATGCAATTCATTATTGAATAATGTTGTTTATAAGAATGAATCTGCTTCTAAAGCAAATTTAATCTGTTATTAAAGTAAATATATTTTGCTATACCGAGTAAAACAATTTGTTATTACAGTTAAAATAATTTACAGAGAACAACATAGAATTATTTTTAACAAACAAAATTTATATTCTCAATCAATTTTTATTTCCTATACATAATGACATAGCAGCTGTATTCTTTAAAATCAAATATTTTTTCTGTACATAAATCACATAATAGTTAATAAATTTAAAAAATAATTAATAAACTTACATATTATTCTTAATAGCAAAAATTAAGTTATTAGCATTTTGTATTTATTTTTAGTTCAATCGTCAAATATGCAATGTGCACAAACTCGAACGCAATTGAACAATTATCCATGAAAATGTGCAAAGAGACGTCTTGTGCCTCAATCATTCTTAGAAAAAAATGTTTATCGTCACCATATTGCCACCTAGAGACCCAAACAAACGCACAAGTGACGTGATTAGTCATCGACGTTAACTGATATCAAGCTAAAACGCTTGCCAAGAATTATCCGTCCGTGAGTCATACGGAATTCGCGTGTCGTGTTGCGTCGCCTGAAAATCAAGCGCTGAACTTCATCGCGTATCACTACAATCTTTCATTTCTTGTTCCTACGATTGGGAAGATTCTGATAACTTTGGTGATACGATATAACAATATTTTTCAAAAGTATTCCAAACGCTAAGTATAATGATGAAAAAACAAACTAAGCAAATAATTTTTAGAATTATTAACAAAAATGGATTAATTGAATTTAAATAATGAAATCAAAATCAAATTAATTAATTTAACATTAATTTATTATTATTATTAAGCGTATTATATGGATTTTATTAAAATTAAATGAATTTATATCAGAAAAAAATTTGAAATTAAATGTTTAATATAATAATAATTTCATAAAAACAAATATTGTATAGATTTATATTTTTGTAATTTTATTGTATATTTTCTATCATGAAACTAATACATAGTATTTACAATTCGATAGATCGAACTTATAGAATCATCTAGAATCATATTGTTTTTTATGCAAGATATAATTATACAAATAATTCAATCAATGTCACTAAAATTATCCAAATCGCGTACTCTTTGATTACACAATTTCAATTGTAGCTAAATGCACTTTGGACCTTCTTCTAGTAATCGCTATCTTTTATAGCGGTATTTTACTTGAATGTTCAAACGGGACGCTTGAAAAATCTAGCTTGGATCCAGATGATGTATTGTAGATTCGTAAGTTCTTCACCAATATTTTAAATTGAACATTTATTTTAAAAAATAGTTTTATTTATAAAAATACTTTTTAAAGATGAAAATGTGAAACATGACCGTTAGCTGTTACTTACTTATAGAGTAAAATCTTAAGTAAAAAATGACAAATTTTTTACAAAATATTTAACCGATATTTTATAAAATTAATATTTTATTATTTAGAATGCTAAGAATTTTTACTTAACTTTTGTGGTAAAATATAAAGACAAGTGTACGCATTCGAAAAGAAATAGAAATAGTAGCTATTTTCAGAAAATTGGAAAGCATATCATTCGGTGATGATGTCATTCGATGAGCGTATCTCAAAATACTTCAACTTCATTCATTGAAATAATTATCACTTTTTAAAATCAAATGTTATAACATATTTTTTCTTACAGTTAATGATTTCTTTTTTTTTTTTTGAAAAAAAAACGGCATTTAATTCTTATTTTTTTGAATTTTTTCGTAAAGATATGATTTTCTTCTTTAATACTCTGTATTAGTTTGTCCCTATAAAAAAAGTAATATTAAATACGAAAAATAATGTACAAAAAAAGTTATATTACTTATTTCGACGTTTTATAAAAAAAATTTTAATGTTTTGCTTCTGATGTTCACCGTTTGTATACTCTACAAACAAAGGTCCCGGCCGAGCCCAGTTTTCGTTGCCGAAAAATGTAAAATTACTAACATTCTACAAATTTCTTTGCACAAGACTAGATAAGAGAGATTCTCTTTAGATCAGTGTTTAATGTTAAATAAAGAATATTGTGTCTACCCTAAATTTTTCTATTAAGAAAATTAATGAGATAGCAACATTAAAAATATTCTAGATTTTCGAATTTTTCATCTAAGAATAAAATATTTTTCTTTAAAGAATAAATATGATTGGCTCTATATTGAAGAGTAATAGCATTGAATATAGAAATCTTTTCTGCAGATGTATCATTTGTAAATAAAGAATGTGGATAAAACAAAATAATCAGATCGCTTTAAGATACTTGTAAAAATGGCCGAAAGCTATCCTTTGCTTTCCCAGCAAACCATGAATATAACTACTGCATAATATAGATGTAAATAATGTATATTTACATATATGTTAGCAGTTATATCAGTTATAACAGTTATATCCATGATTGGGCTGATAGATAACAAATAGTCATAAAAGGCACGTGAAATAAAAATAGGCGACGCATGCATTAAGCAAATAAATTTCATATGCCTTTTAGGACTATTTATTGATTATCAGGGCAGATAAAAATACCTTTCGACCATTTTTACAAATATTATAAAGTAATCTCATTATTTTGTTTTATACAAATTCTTTTCATTTACAAATAGCATGCAAAAAACTTCAACGTATCATTTCTCGTTTATAACGTTACGATCTAATATGAAAAAGGCGACAGGAAAACAAATGAGAAACAGGACCCTCTCTCGAAATCGATAAAAGTTGAAGTATTAAATTTTAAGAGCGAAAATTTATCATTTGGGTCAATATCTTCTCGTATCTGTTCGTAAACGCAAACTTTTTGTGTTTTCATTCTTCTGAATTGCTGTCGATTATAATTTACGTGAATTAGAATGTAATACAAAGAACGTAAATATGAACATGAATACTTGAAACAATTCGATCAAAGAGTGAACATTTTTCCCGATTGTAGAAGTATTTTGACGAGCGCGCGGGAAAATGCACATTGGCACAATAGGAGCGTACGCGAATGTCCGCGGGATGAGTATTGAGTGACAAACCGATAATGATAAGCGCGTAGCGACGTGGGATGCAAGCTTACTGGTTAAATCAAAGTGATCGTAGGAGGGGAATCATGAATAAATGGCGTTAATCCAATATGTCGCACAGATGATGGAAGACTAATGTAAAACACATTGAGTCATTTTGAATATATGAAATTCTGGAATAACTTCGAATATTTTACAAGTTATATAATAAATAAAAAATTAAGAACTCTTAAATGTATGTTTGGAATATCAAAAGATTCTTGAATATTTTAAAAATACGTCTTTATATATGTGCGCGCGCGCACGCGTGTGTGAGTGTGTGCGTGTGCGTGCGCGTGTGTGCGTGTGCTTGTGCGTGTGCGTGCGCGTGTGTGCTAGTGCGTGTGTCTATATGTAATAATGCTTTATTATTATTTCGTTCTCTGTCTCAAACATATTCTCACATTCAATTTCTGAAATAAATTTATTTGAATATAAGGTGTATCTCGCCACTGTCGCCTTTTTTCTTAAGTACTTTTGAGCTAATTTAAAGACGAAAATCCTAATACGAATACCGAGGATATAATAATTTTTGAATTAGTAACGACTATGGGCTTTCTAAAATAAGCAATTACCTAAATTTTAAGAAGCCTTTCACCTTTGACAGCTTCAAAAAATTAATTTTTATTCATTTATATTTCTACATGTGTAGAATATCTCTATAGAAGGATTATTTGAAACTCGCAA